GGATAAAAACAGACTGACTGATTATATATTCTTTAACTAATCACAAGTATTACAAATATCATTAACAATCACTTGTTTTACATAAAACAAAAGACAAATATATATACATAAACATAGTAGACACAGAGCGTTTAGTATCAAACTTCAACAATTATAAAGATCATTGCACAGAAAAAGAAATTAAAAATAATTTTGACAAATAACTAGATCACCTGAAGATAAAAGAATATTTAACAGTGCGTGCAGTGACCTGAGAAATTTAATAGTCAATTATATAAATGTTTTTTATGAAAATTATTTACATAATCTTTAGGCAAATTGTTAGCTTTGGAAAGCGACCATAAAATTAAAAAGACCATAAGATTTTATTGATTTCTTAGATCGTCTAGTAGAGGATGCAAAACAATACCACCTCGTAACGATAGCCGGTGACATCAACACATGGGCAGTAGACTGGAGTAGTAGGAAGACTAATGCAAAAGGTAAAGGCCTTTACTACACTGGATGTGGTTTTACTAAATAGTGGTGATAAGTCAACCTTTGTCAATGGCGATGCAAGCTCAATGATTGACATTACTTTTGTTAGCAATAGCCTTGTCAGAGAAAATTGCAACTGGAATGTATTAGGTATCTACACTGCCAGTGATCATAATGCAATCATCTGGGAAATATCAACAAATAGAAACATTAGAAGACATGTAAAGTTATCTACAGCCATTAGGTTGAAAATAAAATCTTTTGATGAAAGTGATATGAGAGTAGCTTTAAATTGCAAACTTATTACTTCAGAATACGCTGAGGAGCATACTGCAGAGCTGATGGAGAGAGTAACTAAATGCCATGATGTCAGTATGATTCGTAAGCATGGCATAAATCAAAGACAATCTGTGCATTGGTGGAATGAAAATATCAGCTTTCTTCGTAAAGAGGGTCATAGGAAAGGAAGGATCTCTCAGCGAGGTTATAGTCTCACAAATTATGCACAAGTAGTGAAATACTTCTGGATGAAAACCGAAAAGTGAAAATGCCTGAAATAGCTGACATTCTAAAAATAATAATAGAATATATTAGACATATCGTCCGCGAATATTTAAATACGAAAAAGCTCTGTAGCATAATGACCGATAGCATAATGAGTTGATGATTCATAATAGTTTTTGGAGCTGTTCAATCGAAATAAAACTGAGTTTTTGCATAAATATGTTACCATGGATGTGACCTGGATTCTATTCATGTCTAAAAAGGGAGATTTTCCACGAAAATGGAAACAGCAAAGGTTAGTGCTTTTTCCCATCATTCTACCGGCCGATATGCCTGCTGAATACAGCGGGTGAAATTCTTGAAGCATTAAATCACCAAAGAATAGATGCATTAGTTGATCCACTCCTAGCAGACAATCTGCTATTCAATTGCAATTTCCGAAAGAGTCAACTATCGATGCTATAAACTTGGTAGTTAATACTACCAAGGAAGCAATTGCTCTAACCAGATGGGAGGGTGGTGCAATGAATTACAGTCTAGTAGCTACATTAGATATCAAAAATGCATTCAATTCTGCAAACTGGGGCATGCATTATGCATGCACTCCGTGACAAGAACGTGCGGTATACCTCTTCAATATAGTCGCAAGCTACTTTACGGACAGAATTCTAATGTACGATTCATGCGATGGTAGAAAAGAATATAATATAACAGGAGGTGTGTTGCAGGGCTCCGTTCTAGGCCTTTTGCTTGGAATATTATGTATGATGGTCTTTTGAGACTGGAGATTCCACCATCTGTCAAACTAGTAGATATGCAGATGATGTAGCCATAGTAGTTGTTTCGAAACAAATTGATAAGATTGTTTGTCTATTTGGCATAACCATGAGAAAAATTAATCGCTGGATGGGAACAATGAACCTCCAAACAGCACAACAAAAAAGTGAAGCTGTTTTCATCACGAGCAGAAAAACAATAGAGACCACCAAGCTGAAGATACAAAATGTAGAGATCACGTTAAAACCTCACATCTGTTACCTTGCGCGAACAGTTTAGTGGTAAAGTGTCAGTAGTTAGGACGAGTCTTGCTCGACTGATACCTTTTGTTGGAGGCCTAAACCAAACCAGATGGATATTACTATCATTAGTGGTTACTGCGGTACTTACATATTCTATCTCTAAACTCAAAAATTGCGAAGAATGCCAGGACCTGCATGTCGTATATATCGTCTGAGTGCTTTAAGAGTTGATTGCGCTTTTCGCACAATATCGGAGGAAGCAGTGTGCGTCATTTCAGGAACTTTGCCTATCTTAGACTTAGCAGAGAAAAGACAGACAATTTACCAACGAAGACATCAACAACTGAGTCCTGAAAAGTTGGGAGTGGAAGAACGCAGAACAGCATTGGGTGAAGAGTAGATGGACGCATCGTCTCATTCCAAATATCAAAGTAAGGCAAAATCGCAAGCATGGAGAAGTTAATTATTACACTGTACAAATGCTATCTGGGCACGTCTGTTTTTGAGCCTACCTACAGCGCTTCAAGCGCAACAGCTCGCCGGATTGCCCATATTGTTTGGGCGAAATCTAAGATGGTGAGCACGTGTTCTTCATGTGCTCTCGATTTAGTGCTCTACGCAACGATGTAAAAGAGATATTGAGCCGCAGAATTACCCCAGATACTGTTGTAAAAGTGATGCTGACAACTGACGCTGCTTGGAACTCCATAGACAGATTTGCGAGAGAAGTGCTAATTGACCTGCGATCTATGGCAAGTGAAAGAGCGATTGGGACTTTGCTCAATTAAACGATAAGTATAATTTCAGTGCAAGAATAACATTCTAAATCCTCCCCGCATAAAGTAATGCCTAACGGCGGTTTCTGCAGGGACCAGAGGTAAGGGCAAAGCTGAGATTTTTGTCGGTATTATACCCAGACGGTATTGAGTCCGGCATACTCAGACGAAAGACTAGTCTGGGAGGCAAAAATGCATTTCCTTCGCTATACAAAAAAAAACATCCATTTTTTCTAAGGTATTCCAAAATGTTCAGAAACCACTGCAACGTAAATATATGCATAAATTTTCATTTTTATTTTTGGATGATTACAATAACTTACACAACGGCCAGTTAAAAAATGAAAATTTAGAAGAGCTAACTTCAATTGCTCTTAAATGGAATAGTTTGCAATTGATAATAAATTTTGCAAAACTATGTCTATAACCTTATGCAGACACTTAGAACATGTCATTTTATATATTATTGAATGATAAACAAGATCCTATCTCTCTCTTTTATTGTGAATGGCTTATGATAGTAATTGCTTGCTTGCATTATGTTTCATCTTCATTATGAATCATTTGATGTGGTTTCAAAGTAAAGTTATAGTCTAAGAGCCAGTGAACTATTTGACTAACCTGTTTTCACAAAGCCAGAAATTTTTTTAATGATATTTTATTATCGGCCCATTAAGAAAGTACCATTCTGGCAGTCATTCCGCGGTTGCGTCATCATCCCTTCAATTTGTGAAAATGTAAAAAAAACTGTTTTTATAACTTGCTCGCACAAGGCTCAAATTTTGAGGGTGTCTTCTTTTAACTATTCAGAAAGCATATGTAAAAAGCCAGCCCATTCTGACGGTTGCAAGGGTCTGCCAGACGAGTACATAATAGTCACGACGCGCAAGGGTGTGGGCGCATTGCCATACATAATTGACTAATACCCTTGTATTTGAATAATTAATACGCCATTTTAAAGGTCATTTTGAAAACATCCGTTATACCAAACTTCAACTTTGTATCTCACCTTATGGCCGAGATATCATTGAAAATATGCCAATGTGGCCCCTTTTTCAACTTAAATTTTTTGCGTAACCATAAAAGATATCGAAGAAAAAATTTCGTGATTCTACTCATATTGGCTTAAACCACATAATGTATAGTAATATATGCTAAATAATCCTTTATTATTAGCTAAAAAGGATAAAATAATTTTTCAATTAATGTTTTCGGATAGTGCGTTTTGTTTAATTACTTTATTATTAGCGTTATTTAAAAGCTTATTATTTTCTCTTTTAGTACTGCAAATATGGTTTAAATCAAATTTGTGGAACACATTGAAAAATTGAAGAAACCAGAACCAGTACACCCGCGCGTAACGCTAATAGTAGCCCGCATAGAATTCGTTCGGTCGGATAAGCGATGCGTTACGCGCGGGTGTACTGATTCTGGTTTCTTCAATTTTTCAATGTGTTCCACAAATTTGATTTAAACCATATTTGCAGTACTAAAATAGAAAACAATAAGCTTTTAAATAACACTAATAATAAAGTAATTAAACAAAACACACTAACCGAAAACATTAATTGAAAAATTATTTTATCCTTTTTAGCTAATAATAAAGGATTATTTAGCATATATTACTGTACATTATGTGATTTAAGCCAATATGAGTGAAATCACGTTTTTTTTTTTCGATATCTTTTATGGTTACGCCAAAAATTGAGTTTGAAAAAGGGGCCACTTTGGCATATTTTCAATGATATCTCGGCCATAAGGTGAGATACAAAGTTGAAGTTTGGTATAACGGATGTTTTCAAAATGACCTTTAAAATGGCGTATTAATTATTCAAATACAAGGGTATTAGTCAATTATGTATGGCAATGCGCCCACACCCTTGCGCGTCGTGACTATTATGTACGTCGTCTGGCAGACCCTTGCAACCGTCAGAATGGGCTGGCTTTTTACATATGCTTTCTGAACAGTTAAAAGAAGACACCCTCAAAATTTGAGCCTTGTGCGAGCAAGTTATAAAAACAGTTTTTTTTGCATTTTCACAAATTGAAGGGATGATGACGCAACCGCGGAATGACTGCCAGAATGGTACTTTCTTAATGGGCCGATAATAAAATATCATTAAAAAAATTTCTGGCTTTGTGAAAACAGGTTAGTCAAATAGTTCACTGGCTCTTCTACTATTATGCTTTAGTGCAATAATAAACTCTTAATTCTTTTTTATAGATTTGCTGTTGGATTATTGAACTTGCGTCTCAACTTGAACGTTGCACGAATCATGAAGATCTCAAGACATCGAATCTTTCCCTCAGTAATTTGAGTTTGAATGATATTTTACCACAGGTTAGTCCTTTTGAACTATTAATTACTATAATATAATAATTTAATAATGAAACTTTGCCAATTATTTAATATGCGCTGAAATTCTGTTTGAACAAAGCGAAGTATTGTGAAATATTTTATGATTGAATATTTTCAAACTAATTATTTCCGCAATAAACTATTCAAGTTAAATTGAAGTATTGTTTTTAGAAAATTATATAATTTTTTTTTATTCTTTTTTTTTGTAATTTAGTTGGAAAGCTTTATTTTTCTTAAGTAATACCCGGTGCACACGACGCCAGTATTCCTTGTAACAGGATTTCTGTCAAGTTTTCTGGTAAGGTGAGAAAGAATTTTGCGCCAGATTTTTATTTATTTTTTGATTAATAGTAATATTGTGCATTTTGAAATAGATTATTATAAATATATACTGTGAATTTTACAATTCATATTTTATAGGCCTAAAATACAGTAATGCTTATAAGTGTACAAACAGAGAATTCATAAGATGATTTTATCTCATATTTCTAAGAATCAAATGAAATAATAATAATTAAATGATAATAAAATGCTTTATTGGATGATTAATACTGATATGAAAATATTAAAAAGGTTTGCAAATTTTAATGTTTCTTTTAAATTTTGAGTATTTTTGCAAATTTCGAAATTTTTGAAATAAAACGATTTGACTTTTTTTAAATTTTTTTTTAAATATTGAAATTTTTTGATATTTCAGATAAAATTAAAAAAATTGAAAAAAAAAATTTGAATTTGTTCGGAAATTTAAATATTTTAAAATTACTGAACTGCGTTTCTCAAACTAATCATTTATTCACATCGCTATTCACAAAATAAAAACTGAACGCTTCCAAAATCGAAGTACATGAATTAAGTACGAATTGATATTTACGTGATCAAATACAGCTTTTCTATTGTACACTGAAGATATCGGCCACAAAATAATTCATCTATCGCCGATTAGGACTGGCTCTATTCGTAAAATACGGCAGGAATTTTCGAGGACAGAAGTTGCTGTGATTTCCGACGTTGCTAGGCAACGGTTTTACACAGAAGTTATGATAAGGATACTGCCGTTGTGAATAGAGAGCTTAAACGTGAAATCTGGCTAGCAAGATCGAAAAATATGTCGGGCAAGATCGAAAAATATGTCGGGCAAGATCGGAAATTATGATTTATCATATCCTTGCTAGGTATCAAACTGTGCGGCGTCGTGAAATCTGGCGTCCTGTGCACCGGGCTTAATACTAAAAACTTTCTTACAAATACAGGCAAAGGAGGAAAACATTTAAAATATGTAATTAAGTACAAATTATTAATTAAGTTTGAAGGGTCCATTTATAAAGCTGAACTCGTCTGTTTATATTGGAGAACGTAAACATATAAAATGGTGCATTATACTACTTATCAACATGCATTATCTATTGAGTATAGCATATACAGTATTTGCTTCAGCATTTTATTAACGTTTTTCAGTTGACATTGTTGCGCCGCTCTATAAAACAAGCACAGATATTTTAATTAATTTTAATCCTCATTTTCTGAATAACTGCATTAATCTTCTACCTTATATATTCTGCTATTTTACATGCAATTTATGGAAGTGAATTTGTTACCTAATTTGAAATCGGTGATGCATTAAACTCTAACCGTTTTTCTTTTAATTTTTTTTTATTTCCCATACTTTTACTTTTATAAATGAATTCTGGTTAAAAGGGGTTATTATTTGTAAATATGAAATGCGTTTGATGTGCGCGCTTGTTTAAACTGATCAGTAATAAAAAAAAGCAATAAGCCTGAATATTACCTAGCAACTTTCAATGTGCGGGCATCTCTGAACCGATCGATATTCATAAAATGATTTAAATCTGAACTTGCATATACTCTTGGGTAAAGTACTGTTAGTTAGAAACTTTGATTGTCGATAGCATTTTAAGAGCATTTTGTTATCAAGCATTTTGGCACATTACAAAAAGCCTATGTTCTATGTTAAAAACAATGTTTTTTATTAACTTCCCGCAGGGTAAATTATATTACCTCTCCTGATCATTTTGAGAAATGGATGAATGTGTGTGTAGTATTAATGAATTTATGCATGTCCGTATATAAGTTCGATGATTTCGTGCGTGGATAAAATGGATTCAAAAAACATTCGATTCCTGTTGACGGGGGCCTAGTTGAATTTTAGAGAGGGGCGGGTTTAGCCGTTTCGAAGACACAAAGTAATTTATTTACGGTAGCGAGAAGCAGTGATTTCGGAGAATCAAACATCTGATGACAGCGCAAAGGATGACGAGGAAAGACTTCAAGAAGATGTAGAGTAAGCCATGTAGTTATAAATTGAAAAACGATAAAGGGCACTCACTAATGGCCCAACAAATTCAATTCGCATTTTTATTATAGACAAAGAGTCTAAATCACAAAACATAATAGGAATTAGGTCTGACGTTTGCGTCTCTCCGCATAGTTTGTTGAGATGTCCGCCGAGCAAATGTTTTTACGAACTTCAAGCAGAAAATGGTAAACAACTTGCTACATATGGCAAGTTGTCTTTAAAGCTGTATTTAGGTTTCAATAGAACCCTCTCCTCGAAATTAGTGGTTGCCGAGGCATTACGTCTTATCATTGGAGTAGGTTTGCTTGCCTATACTTGTCGTAAGGCCGTATATATATCGCCAAAAAAAGTTCCATAAATATCGGCTTAAATTGTTTTTCAACAGTTAATTACAAGAAATCGGCTCACCTAAAACTAATCGGTATCATTCCCAACTAATATCTTTCGATTCGAGTTCTTGGTTTTTTAAAATGGGTCCTAAATATAAATAAATAAATAAAATATTCAATCGATAAGTTTGTTGTCCTAACGCTGACGGACGCTTTCATAGGAAGCAGAAGGAATGTAACAGCAGATAATTTTTTCGCGGATGGTACATTAACCAAAAAAATTTTTGGTGTGCTCACGCGTTGTCTCAATCGGGCATTTTCTCTTATTATATTTTGTCTTTCTTCGCTTAAGTTCTGTGAATACACTTCTTGCTGGCTTGCATGTCTTGTGCGGCGGCCGATGTTTTTCTCTAGGCATTTTAGACTATGGACAGAGTGGTGTATTTAACCTCAAATGCACGATCCACATAATTTACACAGTTTAACTCACCACCTTAAGGAGCTACAACCACTGTAGATTTCTCCAAAAACGAAAAAGAAAATTTAGGCTTAAAATAACTTGAACCTTTTAGAATATGAGGAAAAATATTTCATACCTAAAACTTTCTTTTTTACTGGTAATTATGAGCTTTTACTAATGCGCGTCCGCTCAAATACATTAACAAAAAACATAATTACAACATGTACATTGTACAATAACATAAAAGCATAATTAAAAGGTTGTCAAATATCTCCCTTCCGCCTTTTTGTCTTTTGAATTTCGCGGCTATGTACAAAGCGCTACAGAGCTCATATCTGGCAATACTATACATAATTTGAAAGGTCTTGACATAACCTACAAAACGACGCTATGCATGATTAGTTTGGATATTGCGTTCAACAGTTATAGACGTGTAAACATGGAGTTCACTAACGCCGAAATTCGCGCTATTTTAAAGTTTTCCTTCGTTAAAGGCAAATCCGCTAGAGAAACGTTCCGTGAGATTAATGGTGTTTTGGGGGATGGTACTTTATCACTTCGAACCGCGGAGGAATGGTTTCGACGATTCAAAGCCGGTGAAAACGACGCCATGGATAAGCCAGCTGGCGGAAGACCTATGACGACAAATACCGATCAAATCATGGAATACATCGAGTTAGACCGGCATGTGGCATCTCGTGACATCGCCCAGGAGATGGGAGTTAGTCACCAAACCATTTTAAACCATCTGCAGAAGGCTGGATACAAAAAAAAGCTTGATGTTTAGGTGCCGCATGATTTGACGCAAAAAAACCTTCTGGACCGAATCAACGCCTGCGATATGCTGCTGAAACGGAACGAACTCGACCCATTCTTGAAGCGGATGGTGACTGGCGACGAAAAATGGATCACATACGACAATATCAAGCGAAAACGGTCGTGGTCGAAGGCCGGTGAATCGTCCCAAACAGTGGCCAAGCCGGGATTGACGGCCAGGAAGGTTTTGCTGTGTGTTTGGTGGGATTGGAAGGGAATCATTCACTATGAGCTGCTCCCATATGGCCAGACGCTTAATTCTACCATCTACTGCGAACAACTGGACCGCTTGAAGCACGATCGACCAGAAGCGTCCAGAATTGGCCAACAGGAAGGGTGTAGTGTTCCACCAGGACAACGCCAGACCACACACTTCGTTGATGACTCGTCAGAAGCTACGGGAGCTCGGATGGGAGGTTTTATCGCATCCACCATATAGCCCGGACATAGCGCCAAGTGATTACCACCTGTTCCTGTCCATGGCGAATGCCCTTGGTGGTGTAAAGTTGAACTCAAAAGAGGCTTGTGAAAAGTGGCTGTCCAAGTTCTTCGCAAATAAGGAGGGGGGCTTCTACGAGGGAGGTATTATGAAGTTGCCGTCTAGATGGAAACAGATTATCGAACAAAACGGCGCATATTTAAACTAAATACGATCACTGTAACACTTTTTATAAAGCATTGAATAAAGAGCAAAAAAGCGGAAGGGAGATATTTGACAACCTTATACAACATGTATTATCTTGAATATACAAATATAAGTTATCATTAAACATTTATATTGCATAAATAAACTGTAAAGCATTTTTAACCAATAGATGATCAGTGCAGAGTCAACACATATAAGGGTTGACTATATTGCGGCTGGTATTGCTGGGGATAATTTCATCAATAGTCTAAGCAATATTTTATAAATAATAATAGTTTTGGAGATTAATATTGTCATCTAAACATGTAATTTTTGTCTTAAAGTCGATTATAAACTGCTTAAGCATGCCGAACCGTCTTTGACGGAAGCACCAAAAGTAGGACGCTCTGATATAATATTATCAAGGGAAGAAAATAA